ATTTGTGTGGGTTTTTTCTTCTCTATTTCAGGAAAGTTTTCTGTCATTATTTCTTGAAATATCAATACTTTTTCCATTCCAACCTCAGTCTCCTTTCCTTCTGGAACCCCTATTATTCGAATATTGTTTTGTTTTGTATTGCTCCAAAGCTCCCATAGGTTCTCCTCCTGCTTTTTAAATTTTTTTTTTCTAGAAGCTGCTCTAATTGGGTATTTTTTTCCATCTTGTCTTCTAGCTCACTGATGCGGTCCTCTGCTTCTTCTAGTCTGCTCTTGATGCTTTCTATTGAGTTCTTCATAGTAGCGTTGTTATTTTTCATTTCTTCTTGAGTCATATTCATTTTCTCTAGGTTCTTCTTCATTTCCTCTTGGGTCTTACTCATATTGTCAAATTTGTCTTCCATTCTTTCTAGCCATCTTATGATCATTACTCTGTATTCTTGCTCTGGTAGGTTGCTTGCCTCTAACTCTTTTACTTCCTTTTCTGGTGATGCCTGATTTTCTTTCATTTGTGGGCTGTTTCTTTGTCTCCTCATGGTCTCTCTTTTCAGGATGTCTGGTTATGTAGATCTCTCTCTCCTGCGTTGGTTTAAAGGCACGAAATACAACACAACCAGGTACAACACACAAGGCACTGAACAGAACTGTATTTGCGATATTAATAACCTCCAATAAAGGTGACCACTAGGGAAAGGCAAATTAGGGGACAAGAGAGAAAGAAGAAGAGTAAGAAGAGAAGAGGGAGGGAGCAAAAGAAAAAGATAGAAAAAGGATATATATATCATTTGGACTATATATTGTGTGTGTGTGTGTGTGTGTGTGTATATATATATATATATATATATATATATATATATATATATATATATATTCCAAATGAAATTGGGAAACAGGGAGAAGAGAGAGAGAGAGAGAGAGAGAGAGAGAGAGAGAGAGAGAGAGAGAGAGAGAGAAATAGAATAAGAGATAAAAGGGGAATAAACTATATATATGGGGAGAGAATTTCAATTGAACAACCACTAACTCCAACAAATGCTGGCAGCAGCACCTGGAGAATGATACAATCTACAACACCCCCTGATTTCCAGCAAAGGAAAGGAAAACAGAAGTAAAAATAAAAACAACAAACAACAAACAAAAACCAATCAAATAAGAAAATACCAAACAACCACGACAGAAAAAGAATAACCAAAATATTCTCACTAAAAAGCATAAAAATACAATATAATCAACATTACCCCAAACAGCATCCAAAGGACATTGAGGAAAACAGTTTTTTGTTTGTTTGTTTGTTTGTTTTTTGCTGATTAATACAGCTCAGAGAGGGGTGTGTATGCACTTGGAACAGGGGACTGGAAATTAGATATATAGGTAGGGTAGAAATTTTAGCAGGGGGGATACAGAAAGCGTAAGGAAAATCTAAAGCAGGAAAGGGTTTAGATAAACAGGATAGCAAAAGGGGAAAGGTTAGAAAGAGAGTGATGGTGTAAAGGTCGTTTTGAGATAGGGTTAAACAATGTTAAAGGAGAAATGAAAATAAAATGAAGAACATTAATTCCAATGTAAAATAAAGAGAAAATAAAATGGCACTAAAAAAAATCAAAATGGCAGTAGTAATAATGCTTATTGAAACTAAAAATGTAATAATTAAAAAGTTAAAATCAAGTGAGGAAAAAAAAGGAAAAAATTTGTTTCTTAAGTAAAAGATGCAAAAAATGAAAATAAAATAAAAAATAAAATAATAATTAAAAAAAGAAATAAAAAATGAAAAGAATTTAGCAAAAAAAATGTTCAGTTGTGAAGGCCATTCACTTCTTCCATTATGCTGTTTGGCATGCCTGTTTCTCAGTCCAGACAGTATTGCAGTTCCCTACGTTCTGCTGCACCTCAGTGGCGATTCCTTAGTTTCCTGGTTTTTGATCAAATAAAACTAATAATAAACACAGTCAGTTTGTACTCCAGACCCTACATGGCAGTGTTTCTGGATTGATGTCCCCATCTTTTTGGCTGCTCTAGCCTTCTTTTTCTGTGGCACTAAATACTGTTTGTTTGTTTTTTTGTTTGTTTGTTTACTTTTATTTTTATTTTTTTGCCTCAGAGCTGAATCCTGGATGATTTCTCCTCGTTCTGCTTCTCAGCTTCCAGAAAAGCAGTTTCCCCCTGCTGTCTGTTAGGGCCAGCCAATCTGCGTGATCTCTCTTTTGTAATCAGAAGCAAAGAGTTGCAGGGGAACCAGCCTAGGTGCACAATGGGCTAGTCTGCGCGTACTTATATAAACAGACTGCTTTCCAACTCCTATGTTCTCCCTCCGTGTCGGATCAGAATGGGTTGCTTCCTAGAGAATCCCACTATTAGCAACCTTGTGGACCCCCATCCACTCTCTTGAATCACACCAGACCCAACAGCTGGGGGCTTTTGTGGACACAGATTTCTGAGGTCCCAGCATGCGCGTGCCTCTGCTGCCATAGCGGCGGCAGCTTCTGCGGTTGCTGCGGCTGCCGCTTTCACTGTTGGAAAACAGACACCCCGCGTCATCCCTGGCAAAATCCAACCTTTCTGTGGAATCCGCGTGTCCGCACCCGGTCGGGGCCCCCACAGTTATGTTTTTTTCAGATCTCAGGTAAGGTGCCCAGTTGCAGCTCTGATGTGGTTGTAAGAGGCAGCACGTACAAATGTTTACCTGGCTTACGCCATCTTCCAGGAAGTCCCCATACCTCTGATTCTATTATATTCATCAGTTAATATTGTTCATCAGGTTTTTTAATTCCCTTGGCTTTTAGTTTCACTTGTTGATAGTTATGTATTTGTTGATCATAATTTTTATCTTTATCTTCTTCCTCTTCCTAAAGAACCCCTTCAGCAATTCATATAATTCTGGTTTGGTGGTGATGAACTCCTTTAGCTTTTTTTAATTTGTGAAGCTCTTTATCTGGCCTTCGATTCTGAGTGATAGCTTTGCTGGTAGAGTATTTTTGGTGTAGGTTCTTGCTATTCATCACCTTGAATATTTCTTGCCATTCCTGTCTGGCCTACATGGTTTCTGTTGAGAAATCAGCTGACAATCGTATGGATGCTCCTTTATAGGTAACTACCTGCTTTTCTCTTGCTGCTTTTAATATTCTCTCTTTGTCTTTCGTGCTTGGAATTTTAATTTTGATGTGTCTTGGTGTGTTTCTCTTTGGATTCCTTTTGTTTGGGGTTCTGGGTGCTTCCTGGACTTGTAAGTCTATTTCTTTCACCAGGTGGGGGAAGTTTTCTGTCACTGTTTCTTTCAGTATGTTTTAGGTATCTTGCTCTCTCTCTTCTTCTGGGACCCCCATAATTCTGATGTTGGTTCGTTTGAAATTGTCCCAGAGGTTTTTTACACTATCTTCAACTTTATGGATTCTCTTGTCTTCTTGCTTCTGTGGAGGAGTGTCCTCTGGCTCTTTGTGTTCCAAATCTTTGACTTGATTCTTGCGATCTTCCATTTTGTTTTTAGAACTCTGTATAATATTTTTTATTTCACATAATGTATTCTTTATTTTTAGTTGATCCATTTTCATATCCTCATAGGTCTTGTTTTATTCGCCTTTTCTAGGAAACTCTTGAAAAAACCTTATAAGTGTGGTTTTGAACTCTATATCCAGTCGCTTCTTGTCCTCCGTTTCTTTTGCTTGTGATCTGTTTCCTTGTCTCGGCATTTTCACAGCTTCCCTGAGTTGGTAGGGTGGCTTTGTGTGCTAAGGTGTCCTATATGGTTGAGTGGGTCAGCCTCCCAGTTACCTGAGGTGGACAGTCTTGGTGTAGCCCTTTGTGGGCTGTGTGTGCAGTCTTGTTAAGCCTTGCTTGTTGTTGGTGTCACTGAGAAGCACTGATCTCCAGGCCAATTGGCTATGAGGATAAGAAGTGTCTCAGCTAGGAGGGCTTCTGTGCTCCGCTTGGATGGGCGGAGTCTCGGGGTGGCACAGCCAAGTTTAGTGAATCCCGAAGATTGGTTGCAGGCGCGCGCACCTCTTTGGTATAGGCGCAGACAAACTTTAGATTCCTGTCTGTTCCTCCTTAGGAGAGTCCTATTTGCAGCGAATGAGAAAGCTAGCCACTGGAAGGGCTTCTGTCCTCTGCTTGGATGGGGCGGAGTCTCAGGGTGGTGCAGACAAGCTTTATTAAGCCCCTCCCTACGAGGGTCTGGTTTCCGAGTCCCCGCAGTAATGGCCACTGGCTTCACACACCTCCAAGAGATCTCTGCCCACTGACTGACAGTTTTGCCTCTCCCTGTCTGTGGCCGTCTATCAGAGCAATCAGGTGGTTCTGTTTTCCTCCCACACAAGAAAGCCAGCTGCGCATTAGCTGTCTGCCCTCTCCATACGCAGGGAATAAGTCAGCAGCGAACTCGGCCCGGCCTCTCCACGCTCTGCAAGCAAGCCAGCAACAAAGTCTGGCGGCCGCCTTTTTGCGTGCACAGTTCTCCGCACCTTCACAGTTCCTGAGATTCTGCGTGCCTTCTCTCTCCTTCCCAGATGGTAGAGCCTTCTCTCAGCCAGCCGTCCGGTGATTCAGGGCGATGTTTCCCCTGTTTTCCAGTTCTAAATTCAAATTTGTTGTGGTAGGCTGCATTCAGGTGTCTACCCTATGCTGCCATCTTGGTTTCTCTGCTTTTATTTTTTAAATTATTATTCTAAGACAAGAAAAGTGTGTTTTTCCTTAAGCTGCCACAATTCTGTTGTTCTTATTTGCTCCTTCACTGCAGAGGTAAGAATTAAGCACAAGAAAGAGATACATATGGGGCATGTTTTTCTAAGTAAAAATCACATCCCAACTCCCAGTCCCTTGTGCATACAGTGTCCACAGCACATGAAACTGCTGTGACAGCCTGTGTCACTGTGTGCTGTGCCTGGAAGTCAGCAGCACTCCTCCCACGTGCTTTTTTTTTGGGGGGGGGGGGCGGTCCCTCTCCATTGTTTCTCAGTGGACAAGATGGATTTGCTGCTTCAGCTGCTCCAATGGTTTCCTCTTTTCCAGAACAGCATGATTCCAACAGGGCTGGCTTGGGAGGACATGCTGTACCCTCTATACCAGAAGTACAAGAATGCCATCACGTGGGGAGACCAAGATTTATTAAATATTATTTTTTACTTCAATCCAGGTAGGTTGTTTTTCCAGAATGTCATTTGTATTTTAGTGTACCTCCCACCTCAGCTCACAGAGGCATTCCAGCCAGGCTCCTGAGAGCTCCAGCCATGCTGCGCCCACCTGCTGGCTCAAGGGCGGGGGGGGGGGGGGCGTTGTTGGGATTTCTTGGAAGCGGGACTTTGTGCTGCTGACACAAAGACTGAATGGTAAAACCTCTGGATCCATTTTTTGAGAATCTCTCTTAGATTTTGCCAGCACGATTCTTCTGAGAAGTACAGTCAAAATTAATGGGAGGCACTGAAGTAAATGACAACGTTATCTAGGCATGAGGCCCTCCTTGCCTGAACATGTCTGGATTGGAGGGAATGGATTCTTGGGATCCTTAAAGGGAAGTGACTTATACAAGGGTAAAGAGCCTGAATAAGGACTCAGGTTCCCAAGCCCCTTTTTGTTTTCATTTGGGCTGAAGGAAATTCTTTTTATATTGTTATATCCATGATATGGTGGAGTTGAGAGAGGGGGAGAAAAAAAGATTTCTGGTGTTTTTATTTTGACACTTAAAACTAACAAAATTTCCTTTTAAAGACTTTGGCCTATGGTTGCAAATCACCTTGGACCCACCTGCTATGTACCTTTATTTTATTTAACAAAGCTCTGGAATAATACCTAATCTCCTATATCTTTGAATCAAAAAGGATCAAATGCAGGGGGCGGGTGGCAGGGGGGTGAGGGCAGAAGCAGGTGGATAGTTTCTGGGAAAGATACCCAGTGCTCATTCATTAGACAGAGGGAAAATGTTGCCATTCACTTGTGACATTTCAGTCCTTTGCGCTCTGATAATCAGGGATTTTCAAGTCTGCACCTTCTGCTTTTTCTTGCTCAGCACATTTCACCTTTTTTTTTTTTTTTTTTTATAGGTGTAGATGTGCTGGGTAAGATTCTTGACTTCAAATAAAAGGCCCCTGGAATCTGTCTAAATGCAAAGGGCACTTTAAAAAAACAAACAAACAAACAAACAAAAAAAACAACCTTCTGCACACGGACACAGGGCAGACAGGCCAAGCAGGCTCAGCGGAACCTGAAGTGGCAAAGAGAAATGATGGGGAGCCAGGTTGGACTTTCTTCCACTCAGGCTGGTTTTTCCTCTTTTAAAACTCATTCTCTGCTCCTCAGACCTCAAAGCTAAGGCCAGAGGTTTCAAACTCCAGGTCCAGCTGCACGTAACGACTGGCTTATCCCAACCTCACAGCCGAGGGAGAGATCTGTTGGTTCTAGTGCAGCCAGTTAGGCAAGCATGATGCTTAGCGACAATGGCTGACATTTATTATGTACTAGTTGCCAGGTGTTGGTCTCAGCATTATTTTATTTAATCCTCAAAACAACACTGAGAATGTAAAGACAAAGCTACTGAGTGACAGATAACAAGCACTGGAGCATGGCATGAGGCCAGGGCCCTCAGCTCCAGCCCTATGTATTTGGGAGGAGTTTTTGGAGAGGAGAATCTTAGCTGGGCAGCTACCCCACAGTGGATCTTTCTGCTGCATTATTTCTGTCCTTTCAATATTGCATTTTCCTTTCTGCTGAGTGGCTAAAACTGTCTTCCATAATCCTAATCTGTTTAAATTCCCAAACTGAAGAATTTAAATAATCTGTATAGTTGCCTTCCCAGATACCTTCTGAGCCTATTGCAGATTGTTTAAGGATATGACTAGTAAGTAAACAATGCTCAAAAAGAATCACAGCAACTTGTAATTAAGCCCCTTGTGTTTATTTTATTTTTTCCCCTTACCTTCTTGTCTTTTTTTTAAGACTGAAAACCAGCTGAGTAAATGCCTTCCTCACTACCCCTCTTAGATCCGTTGAATACAAGAATAAAGTAAAGTTCCCTGGCTTTAGATTAGTATTAGGTAACTCCTTGATTTTTTATTTTTATTTTTATTTTTATTTTTTAAATAAATCTTTATTGTTCAGATTATTACAAATGTTCCTCTTTTCCCCCCACCTCCATTGCTCCCCTCCACCATGTTCCCACCCCACCCTCTGCCCTTTCCCCACCCCCCATTGTCCTCATCCATAGGTGCACAGTTTTTGTTCAGTCTCTTCCCGCACCCCACTTCCTTTTTCCCTGAGAATCGTCAGTCCACTCCCCTTCCATACCTCTGATTCTATTATATTCACCAGTTAATATTGTTCATCAGATGTTTTAATTCCCTTGGTTTTTAGTTTCTCTTGTTGATAGTTATGTATTTGTTGTTCATAATTTTTACCTTTATCTTCTTCCTCTTCCTAAAGAACCCCTTCAGCAATTCATATAATTCTGGTTTGGTGGTGATGAACTCCTTTAGCTTTTTTTAATTTGTGAAGCTCTTTATCTGGCCTTCGATTCTGAGTGATAGCTTTGCTGGTAGAGTATTTTTGGCTGTAAGTTCTTGCTATTCATCACCTTGAATATTTCTTGCCATTCCTGTCTGGCCTACATGGTTTCTGTTGAGAAATCAGCTGACAATCGTATGGATGCTCCTTTATAGGTAACTGCCTGCTTTTCTCTTGCTGCTTTTAATATTCTCTCTTTGTCTTTCGTGCTTGGAATTTTAATTTTGATGTGTCTTGGTGTGTTTCTCTTTGGATTCCTTTTGTTTGGGGTTCTGGGTGCTTCTTGGACTTGTAAGTCTATTTCTTTCACCAAGTAAAGAAAGTTTTCTGTCACTATTTCTTCCAGTATGTTTTCGGTATCTTGCTCTCTCTCTTCTTCTGGGACCCCCATAATTCTGATGTTGGTTCGCTTGAAATTGTCGCAGAGGCTTCTTACACTATCTTCAACTTTATGGATTCTCTTATCTATTTTAAAAAATATATATTTTATTGATTTTTTACAGAGAGGAAGAGAGAGGGATAGAGAGTTAGAAACGTTGATGAGAGAGAAACATTGACTAGCCACATCTTGCACCCCCCCTACTGGGGATGTGCCCGCAACCCAGGTACATGCCCTTGACCAGAATCGAACCTGGGACCTTTCAGTCCACAGACCAACACTCTACCACTGAGCCAAACCGGTTTTGGCTGGATTCTCTTATCTTCTTGCTTCTGTGGAGGAGTGTCCTCTGGCTCTTTATGTTCCAAATCTTTGTCTTGATTCCTGTGATCTTCTATTCTGTTTTTAGGACTCTGTATAATATTTTTTATTTCAGATAATGTATTCTTTATTTCTAGTTGATCCTTTTTTATTTCTAGTTGATCCCTTTTTATTTCTAGTTGATCCCTTTTTATTTCTAGTTAATCCCTTTTCATATCCTCATAGGTCTCGTTTATTTTATCAGCCTTTTTTAGGAGATTCTTGAAAAATTTTATAACTTTAGTTTTGAACTCAATGTCCATTCTTTTACTCTCCTCCATCTCCTTCGTGTCCTGCCTCTTCTCTGCATTTTAACTGCTTCGCTGATTTGATGGAATAGTTTTCTGTGCTAGGTGTTCTGGTAGAGCCCAGTAGCACAGCCTTCCCAGTTACCTGAGGTGAACAGACTTGGTGTAGCCCTTTGTGGGCTGTATGTGTAGTCTTGTTGTTAAGACTTGCTTGTTGTTGGTATCACTGGGAAGTGTTGATGTCCAAGCCAATTGGCTGTGAGGATCAGCAGTGTCTCAGCTAGGAGGGCTTCTGTGCTCCTCTTGGATGGGGCAGAGTCTTGGGGTGGCATAGACAAGCTTTGGTTCCCTGTCAGTCCCGCCTTAGGAAAGTCCTATTCGCAGCAAGTCCCGCAATATTGGTTGCAGGCGTGGGCACTTCTTGGATAAAAACTGTTCTTGAGTTTTGCCTGGTCCATGACAGCCAGTTTTTCCCAGCTCAGAGTTGTCTCTCAGTGCAGTTGGGAGTTTTTTTTGTTTGTTTGTTTGTTTTTCTTTTTTTTTTTCCTCCTGAATGAGAAAGCCAGCCTCCTAGAGGGCTTCTGTGTTCCACTTGGATGGGGTGGAATCTCAGGGTGGTGCAGACAAGCTTTGGTTTCTCATCAGCCCCTCCCCATGAGGTTCCAGTTCCTGAGTCCTGCAGTAATGGCTGCTGGCTCCACCCACCTCCAAGAGATCTCTGCCCACTGCCTGACAGTCCAGCCTCTCCCTGACTGGGGCTGTCTATCAGAGCAATAGGGTTGTTTTGTTTTCCTCCCTAATAAGAAAGCCAGCTGCGCATTAGCCGTGCGCCCTCTCTGCGCGTGCCGCAAGCAAACCAGCAGTGAATTCAGCGGCCGCCTTTTCTCGCGCACTGTTCTCCATGCCTTCACAGTTCCTGAGGCTCAGCATGCCTTCTCTCTCGTTCCTGGATGGTAGAGTCTCCTCTTAGCCAGCCATCCGGTGCTTCAGGGTGATGTTTCCAGTTGTAAATTCAAAATTGTTGTGGTAGGCTGCATTCAGGTGTCTACCCTATGCCATCATCTTGATTTCTCCTCCTTGATTTTTTTTTTACATATGTTGCCTGCATTTAATCTATTTTATACTTTATTCAAGAATTTTATTAAACATGAAGTCTTTGTCCCAGCTATAATAGTATAGCTCAATGGTTAAGCACTGATCTATGAACCAGGAGGTCACAGTGGAATTTCTGCTGGATTTTGGGCTCAACCCCTAGTTGGGGGCATTAAGGAGGCAGCCAATTAATGATTCTCATCATTGATGTTTCTACTCTCTCTCTCTCTTCCTTCCTCTCTGAAGTGAATAAAAATATTTTTAAACAAACAAACAAACATGAGGTCTTTAAACTGAAATCCAGTGCTAACCATCACATCGAAAGGTTTTTATTTGTTTATATTGTTTGTGAGCACTTTCTATAAACTTAAACAAACTACATTTTAAAAAAATAGTTTTTTTCACCTCTATCCCTGGCAAGAAGAGACAGAGAAAAGATTGGCCCTGACAGGAGATAAATATGCTTATTATAATGGTTCTTTGGGTTGCTACAGGTGAAGCAATGCATGCAAAATGGAACATATTTCTAGATATCACTATTATAGACTAGAGGCCTGGTGC